TATCACGGTCTCTATATTTCTTACAGACATATTTAAAGAAAATCGTCACACAACCTTGACGTCCCCATTAAAAAGAAGACAACTAAATAGGCCTATAAATAAAGGTCCCTCAAAACGCCCCAGTAAAGATCCCTCTTGAAAAAAAAAGAAAGAAAAAAGAAATCTCTCTTCAGAATAGGTCTAAGAAGAGCATCCTTCAGAAGAGATCCTACCGAGAGACTTTTCCTGGAATTTCCTTCTCTTAGGATGAAGTCACTGAAGCGCACGGGGAAGGGACGAACCGCCACCTGGATCTAGCCAAAGGTATTCTCATGCTTCGGAAGTGAGTGAACGCAGAATTACGAAGTTATTCTCATCCAGTAAGTAAAAAAATAGACAAATGAATGAATAAATAAATGAAAAAAAGAAAGATTAGAAAGAAGGGATGACGGACCACTCACCTCCAAACACCAAATTGAGGGAGAAACAAACATAAATAGATAACACACATAGATAACAAGAAGAATCACAAACATACCGAGAATTAAATACACGGACACAAACAACCCATACTTCGAACTCTCAAATGATTACACTTAGAAACCACTCACTTTCGAGAACCAAATAAAAAGAAACATGCCGTAGTCAACATTCAATAACAAAAGTTGCAAGTTCTTCACATGCAACGAACAGCTGATATCTAATAACAGGAAATATAAACCCGATCACCTCTACAAATATTCCGCGAAAAGGAGAACTTACTGCAGATTATTATTTTGTGATCATGTCATTGTAAATCACTCACTAAAAATACGTAAAAAAGAACAATTAGTGCCTCATATAAAAGAAAAATTAGTGCCTCATATCAACAATAATGAATTAATCACTTATGAAGACTTGAATTTGGTTTAAAAGAAAAGAAAAGGAAAAAGTAAATCAAAACTTTACAGACTGGCGAACATATAAATCAATAAAGAAAGCAATAAGTGAAAATTAGGAATAAAAATACGAAACGGGAATCATAAACTCCGCAAAGAGTCGAAGATAAGAAACAGAAAACGAGAAAGAAATACGAAAGTAAAAATCTGGCAAAGATCAAGACTCAGAAGCATCTAAAACCGTTTCTTTCTTTTCGTTTCCTTTTTCTTCTTCTTCTTCTTTCTTTCTTTCTTTTTTTCCTTCTTTCCTTCTTTCTTTTTTCTTTTTCTTCTTCTTCCTTCTTTCTTTCTTTCTTCTTTTCTTTTCTTCTTTCTTCTTTTTCTTTCCTTCTTTCTTTCTTCTTTCTTTCTTTCTTCTTCTTTTTTCTTTCTTTTCTTTTTCTTTTTTCTTTTCTTTTTTCTGCTTCTTCTATTTCTTTCTTTCTTTTCGCAGCGCCTCGGATGTGCAGTCGCCTCCAGAAGTTCCCTTACCTTCATCCTCTATAGACATCTAAATCAATCCTTTTTCCACGATGTTGTAATTTTTATAATGATTTTGTTATTGTAAGAACAAGAGGAAATGTTCTTCATGTGAAAGCCTCTCCGAATGCCGTCAAGTACACATAGCACACATAGTACACATACCCACTTGTCACATCAATAGCTACGAGGGAATGCCCCATTTGTCATGGCATAATCAGGTTGCTGAGACGAATGCCCACACCCTGATAAGACGTAACACCTTATAAGGACTTTCTTTGGGTATCTTAGCACGTCAAGGGCATCTGGGGAAACCTTTCTGGGTAGAAGGGAAACTTTGGTAGAAAAATAATTTTGGGTAGCGGGAGAACTTTTTTGGGTAGCGGAAAAGAGCGTTTCTGGGTAGCGGGAAAAATTCTGGGTAGATGAGGAACTATTTCTAGGTAGCGGGGAAAATGTTTTCCTGGGTAGGGGAAAATAACATTTTTTGGGATATAGCGGGAAATTTTTCTGGTACGGGAAAAAATTTTTCCTGGGTTAAAGCGGGAAAACTTTTAGGGTAGCCGGCAAATTTTTTCTGGTAAAGTGGAAAAAAAACTTATTATGAGTAGGCGAAAAAAAACTTTTCTGGTAGATGAGGAACTTTTCTGGTAGGCGGGGAAAAACTTTTTTGGGTAAGCGGGAAATTTTCTGGGTAAGCGGGAAAACTTTTTAGGGTAGCGGGAAATTTTTTCTGGGTAGTGGGAACTTTTTATGAGTAGCGAAAAAAAAACCTTTCTGGGGGTAGCGAAGGAAACTTTTTCTGGTAGCGAATTTCTTTTTCTGGGTAGCGGGAACTTTTCTGTGTAGGAAAAAATTTTCCTGAGAAGCGTGAACTTTTCTGGGAAAAGCGGAAAAGAACATTCTCTACTTAATGTGTTTTATGTTTCAAATGCGTGGTTTCCGTGTTTGTGTTTGTGTGTGTGTTTGTATGGTGATATGTATGGTGTTTTTTTTTGAAAAAATGTATAATATACATAGCATTAAATACATACTACATAACATAATAATATATATATATATATATATATATATATTATGTGTGTGTGTGAATGTGTGTTGTGTGTGGTGTGGTGTGTGTGTGTGTAGGTGTGTGTGTGTGTGTGTGTGTGTGGTGGTGGGCGTGTTTTGTGTGAGTGTGTGTTGTGTGTGCATATAAATATATATATAATAGTATATATATATATATATATATATTATAATATAATATATATTAATAGTATATATATATATATTTATTTATACATATATATGATATATATATATATATATATATAATAATATTATATATATATATATATATTAATATATAATGAACATACGAGTGTGATGTATATATATTACATATAATTATACTATAATATATATATATATATATATATAAATATATATATATATATATATATATGATGTATATATATATATATATATATATATAATACCATATACTACATATACATATATATATATAATATATATAGTATATATATATATATATAATATAATATAATAATATTATATATAATATAATATATATGTTGGTATGTATGTATATATATAGTATATATATAATATATAATATATAATATATATTAATTATATAATATATATATATAATAAATATGTAATATATAATATATTTATATCTATGAACATAGAAGTATATATATAGTATTATAAATAATAAACTAATTTTATAAAAAAAAAAATAAAAAAAAAATTAAAAATATATATATATATATATATATGAATGATTAATTAATATTTATTAGACAATTTCTGATAAAACTAGTGCTGAGTGGCTGAGACAAAGGAGACAATTATATAAGAGAAAGATTTGAGAGATACACATAAAGCGAGAACGAGAAACAACTGAAAAGATGCGAAGTAAAAAGAAATGTAAAGAAAGGAAGACAAAGAGACAGATAATTAGAGTGACAGAAACAAAAGGAGAATAAAAAGAGCATCTCCAATTCAAAATTACCATTATATTATTATCATTATCATTGTTATAAATGCTATTATCATTGACATCATCATTGTCATTATCATTACCATTATTATCATAATAATCACATATACTTCCATGAGTTATCATTCATCATTATCATTATTGTTACTATCATCATCATTATCATTATTATTATGCAATCATCACATTATTCTCATCATTATCATTATTGGTTATGATCATCTCATTATCATTACTATATGATTACATCATCCATTATTTATTATTATTATTATTATTTTTATTATTATTGTTATTATTAATCATTATTAATTATTTACTTATTAATTATTATTAATCATTATCATTATCATTATCATTATTATCACTATCCATCATTAATTAATTTGTAATTATTATAATCAACTTAATCATATTGCATTAATTAACATATTATTATTATGATGATGACGATGAAGATGATGATAGATGATGATGATAATGATGAATGATGATGATCAAAAAGTTATGAAGATTTTTTTTTCTAGAATTAGTCTTAGCCTAACTTATATGTCATTATATATTTATGAACCGGATCCAGGATTTTTTTATAATAATTACATTAGTTACCCCTATTAACTTTTTGATTTATTTTTATCTTTATTTACTATTAATCTTATCTTTATATATATATATATATATATATTATATATATATATATATATATTATATTATTTATTTATTTATTTATCTTTATATACTATAAATATATTTATCTTATATACTATTTACTATTCATAGTTACTCCTGCTGTCTATGTAATAGGGGTAACTATTATTAAATCATTACATTTATCATCTCCGCCACAGAGGTTGTTATGGACGTCAAAAGTGTACTTGAGAAAGAGGTGATTTGGATATAATTCTTCAAGTGTGAATATTTCTTTGGCCTAAGTGACCCTATCTTGGCCTTGGCGGAGGTATGCGCTCTCTGAGTACTTCTAGGTATCATTGTTATCTTAATTATTATTGTCATCATTATTTTTGTTCTTATCATTATCACTATCATCGTTTTTTTGTATCATAATATATAACGTAAATTAACAAATGGATATAGATTCTTATTTCTAATATATACATACATGCTATTACTGAAAAAAAAAAACACTAAACATATATAAACAAATTTATACATACCTGCGGACATCCCCCTCCCCCTCCCTCTCTCTCTCTCCCAAACACACTCGTGAAAACAGCGCACATATTACTCAATACGATATAATTACACCCCAAAATTTTAGTTTCGAGTAATAATAACTCTAACATTATTTCTAATCTAAAAAAAAAAAAGTCAGTCAACTACATCGGATACACAGATAAACAACTTATAAAGCCACCGCCACGGCCGACACTTTTTTTTTTTTTTTTTTTTTTGTGGCGTATACCACACTGTTAGCAATTCTGATCTCGTATGATAATATTTCAGAGGAAGTGCCTGTAAATTAAAAAGTTACCAGAGCCCTTATTGTGTGTGTGGAAACAATTTGCCGAGCCACACCCCCACACACGCCACTGAACTGCAGGAGGAACAGCGCTTGTTGGGGTCGTTGCAAGACAGGAATGCCTAGGGCCTCGCTAGCAAGGACTCCGGAAGGGCTGAAGACAAGGGCTGAAGGCAGGTGCTTCAGCAGGAGCTGAAGGCAGGTGCTTCAGCAGGTGCTTCAGCAGGGGCTGAAGGCAGGTGCTCAGCAGTAGCTGAAGCAGGGCTTCAGCAGGAGCTGAGGCAGGGGCTGAAGGCAGGTGCTTCAGCAGGGGCTGAAGGCATGTGCTTCAGCAGGAGCTGAAGGCAGGGGCTTTCAGCAGGAGCTGAAGGCAGGTGCTTCAGCAGGAGGCTGCTTCAAGGAGCAAGGCAGGTGCTTCAGCTGAAGGAGTGCTGAAGGCAGCAGCAGGGGCTGAAAGGCAGGTGCTTCAGCAGGGCTGAAGCAGGTGCTTCAGCAGAGCTGAAGGCTTCAGCAGGAGCTGAAGGCAGACGCTTCAGCAGGGGCTGAAGGCATGTGCTTCACCAGGAGCTGAAGGCAGGTGCTTCAGCAGGGGCTGAAGGCAGGTGCTTCAGCAGGGGCTGAAGGCAGGTGCTTCAGCAGGAGCTGAAGGCAGGTGCTTCAGCAGGAGCTGAAGGCAGGTGCTTCAGCAGGAGCTGAAGCAGTGCTTCAGCAGGGGCTGAAGGCACGTGCTTCAGCAGGGGCTGAAGGCAGGTGCTTCAGCAGGGGCTGAAGGCAAGTGCTTCAGCAGGAGCTGAAGGCAGGTGCTTCGGCAGGGGCTGAAGGCACGTGCTTCAGCAGGTGAAGGCAGATGCTTGAAGGCAGTGCTTCAGCAGGAGCTGAAGCAGGTGCTTCGGCAGGGGCTGAAGGTATGTGCTTCAGCAGGAGCTGAAGGCAGGTGCTTCAGCAGGGGCTGATGTGCTTCAGCAAGAGCTGAGGCAGGTGCTTCAGCAGGGGCTGAAGGTAGGTGCTTCAGCAGGAGCAAAAGGCAGGTGCTTCAGCAGGGGCTGAAGGCAGGTGCTTCAGCTGAAGCAGGGCTTGCAGGGCTGAAGGCAGTGCTTCAGCTGCTTCGCAGCTGAAGGCAGCAGGAGCAGAAGGCAGTGCTTCAGCAGGGCTGAAGGCATGTGCTTCAGCAAGAGCTGAAGGCAGGGCTGAAGGCAGAGCTTCAACAGGAGCTGAAGGCAGATGCTTCAGCAGGGGCTGAAGGCATGTGCTTCAGCAGGAGCTGAAGGCAGGTGCTTCAGCAGGGGCTGAAGGCAGATGCTTCAACAGGAGCTGAAGGCAGATGCTTCAGCAGGGGCTAAAGGCAGGTGCTTCAGCAGGGGCTGAAGGCAGATGCTTCAGCAGGGGCTGAAGGTAGGTGCTTCAGCAGGGGCTGAAGGCAGGTGCTTCAGCAGGGGCTGAAGGCAGGTGCTTCAGCAGGAGCTGAAGGCAGATGCTTCAGCAGGAGCTGAAGGCATGTGCTTCAGCAGGAGCTGAAGGCAGGTGCTTCGGCAGGGCTGAAGGTATGTGCTTCAGCAGGAGCTGAAGGCATGTGCTTCAGCAGGAGCTGAAGGCAGACGCTTCAGCAGGAGCTGAAGGCAGACGCTTCAGCAGGGGCTGAAGGCATGTGCTTCACCAGGAGCTGAAGGCAGGTGTTTCAGCAGGGGCTGAAGGCAGATGCTTCGGCAGGGGCTGAAGGCAAGTGGAGGAACTTGTGCTTCAGCAGGAGCTGAAGGCAGGTGCTTCGGCAGGGGTGAAGGTATGTGCTTCAGCAGGAGCTGAAGGCATGTGCTTCAGCAGGAGCTGAAGGCAGACGCTTCAGCAGGGGCAGCGCTTCAGCAGGGGTGAAGGCATGTGCTTCACCAGGAGCTGAAGGCAGGTGCTTCAGCAGGGGCTGAAGGCAGATGCTTCGGCAGGGCTGAAGGCAGGGCTTCAGCTGAAGGCAGGTGCTTCAGCAGGAGCTGAAGGCAGGTGCTTCAGCAGGGGCTGAAGGCAGGTGCTTCAGCAGGGGCTGAAGGCAGGTGCTTCAGCAGCTGAGGCAGGTGCTTCGAGGGCTGAAGGTATGTGTGCTTCAGCAGGAGCTGAAGGCAGGTGCTTCAGCAGGGGCTGAAGGCATGTGCTTCAGCAAGAGCTGAAGGCAGGTGCTTCAGCAGGGCTGAAGGTATGCTTCAGCAGGAGCAAAAGGCAGGTGCTTCAGCAGGGGCTGAAGCAGGTGCTTCAGCAGGCTGAAGGCAGGTGCTTCAGCAGGGGTGAAGGCATGTGCTTCAGCAGGAGCTGAAGGCAGATGCTTCGGCAGGGGCTGAAGGTATGTGCTTCAGCAGGAGCAGAAGGCAGGTGCTTCAGCAGGGCTGAAGGCATGTGCTTCAGCAAGAGCTGAAGGCACTTCAGCAAGAGCTGAAGCAGGGGCTGAAGGCAGATGCTTCAACAGGAGCTGAAGGCAGATGCTTCAGCAGGGGCTGAAGGCATGTGCTTCAGCAGGAGCTGAAGGCAGGTGCTTCCAGGGCTGAAGGCAGATGCTTCAGCAGGGCTGAAGGCAGATGCTTCAGAAGGGGCTAAAGGTGCTTCAGCAGGGCTGAAGGCAGCTGAAGGTAGGTGCTTCAGCAGGGGCTGAAGGCAGGTGCTTCAGCAGGAGCTGAAGGCAGGTGCTTCAGCAGAGGCTGAAGGCAGGTGCTTCAGCAGGGGCTGAAGGCAGATGCTTCAGCAGGAGCTGAAGGCATGAGCAGGAGCTGAAGGCAGGTGCTTCGGCAGGGGCTGAAGGTATGTGCTTCAGCAGGAGCTGAAGGCATGTGCTTCAGCAGGAGCTGAGGCAGACTTCAGCAGTGAAGGCAGACGCTTCAGCAGGGGCTGAAGGCATGTGCTTCACCAGGAGCTGAAGGCAGGTGTTTCAGCAGGGGCTGAAGCAGATGCTTCAGCAGGGGCTGAAAGGCAAGTGCTTCAGCAGGAACTGAAGGCATGTGCTTCAGCAGGAGCTGAAGGCAGGTGCTTCGGCAGGGGCTGAAGGTATGTGCTTCAGCAGGAGCTGAAGGCATGTGCTTCAGCAGGAGCTGAAGGCAGACGCTTCAGCAGGAGCTGAAGGCAGATGCTTCAGCAGGGGCTGAAGGCATGTGCTTCAGCAGGAGCTGAAGGCAGGTGCTTCAGCAGGGGCTGAAGGCAGATGCTTCGGCAGGGGCTGAAGGCAGGTGCTTCAGCAGGAGCTGAAGGCAGGT